GTGTGTGTGTGTGTGTGTGTGTGTGTGTGTGTGTGTGTGTGTGTGTGGCTGCCCGCAGAGGCCAGATGAGCGCTTTGGATCCCTGGAGCTGGAGTGATAGGCATTGATCTGGATACTGAAAACTGAACTTGGGTCCTCTAAAGGAGCAGAGAGACCCTGTCTCAAAACAAACAACAAACAAAAAGCTTCAAACAGCAGACACTAAGGAGCTTTAACGTCTGCTGCAATGTTTGCAGACCCAGGGGCACGCTCGGGCTGCATCAACTCAGCCCTATCTTCCTGCCATTTCCTTTTCTTACTTTATCCCACCAAACCACAAGCTAAAAATAAACTATTCCCTTAAAAATTACAGCAAGCCAAGCATGGTGGCCCATGCCTTTAATCCCAGAATTCAGGAGGAAGAGGCAGATGGATCTCTGAGTTTGAGGACAGCCTGGTCTACAAAGCAAGTCCAGGACAGCCAGGGCTCTGTTACACAAAGAAACCCCACCTCAAAGAAAGCAAATGTGACATTTCAATTGCAAGTCAATTCTTTTAAATCACATCACTGGCCATAAACAACAAAATAACAAGAACTGTGATGGGGAAAGTCTCTCTCATATCCATAGCATGTATGGTCCTGTTTGTCGACTGTGCTGTTAAAGTTCGACTGTTAGGGCTGGGGACATATCTCACTGGTAGAATGTTGCCTGGCAGGCCAGAGGCTCTAGAAACATGACTCTTTAAATTTTCTTTTTATTAGATTTATTCATTTTTTATGTGAGTATTTTGCTTGTATACACGTATGTGCACCACTTGCATGCTCGGTTCCCCCGGAGATCAGAAGAGGGTGTTGGATCCCGGGAACTGGAGCTTCGGATGGTTGTAAACCACCACATAGATGCTGGGAACCAAACCCTACTGTCTTGAAGAGGAGCAAGTGCTCTTAACTGCTGAACCATCTCTCCACCCCAACAAATTATTATTATTTTATTATTCTTATTTTCCTTGACACTGGGTCTGACTATGTAACTCTAGCTGACCTGGAACTGCCTATGTAGACCAGGCCAGCACTGAACTCACAAAGATCTTTCTGCCTTTGCTTCCTGAGTGCTGGGATTAGAGTGGAGTGCTGGAATTCACTGCCTCAGACCCAGCCTTTATTATATATCACATACATAACTGATTGTTTATATATACATATTTATTCATTTATGTGATTGATATTGTTAACATTCTAGACTGAATCCTTTTTTTAACATTTATTTATTTATTATGTGTACAGTACTCTGCCTGCTTGTACACCTGCATACCAGAATAGGGCACCAGATCTCATTATAGATGGTTGTGAACCACCATGTGGTTGCTGGGAATTGAACTCAGGACCTTTGGAAGAGCAGCCGGTGCTCTTAACCTCTGAGCCACTCTCCAGCCCAACTGAGTCCTTTTTAAGTATTAAAAGAAAGCTGGGCAGAGGTGGTGCACACCTTTAGTGCCAGTACTCAGGAGGCATGGTGGCACATGCCTGCAAGTTCGAGGCCAGCCTGGTCTGCAACAAAGAGACATTGTCAAAACCAGACCAGGCAAAACAAAACCACTACACACAAAGAAATGCATAAAATATATCAATGCTAGTTAAAGATATGCCTAAAATATAAAATAAAATGAAACTGAATGGGAGTTGGGGTCTTGGGCCACATGAATGGCAAAGGTGAGGGTCTGGGGCTATTGCTCAGTGGTTAAGAGTGGGTCTAAGCTGACCGGGCATGGTGACGTACACCTGTAATCCCAGCACTCAGGAGACAGAGGCAGGTTTATCTCTGTGAGTTTAAGGCCAGCCTGGTCTATAAATCGAGTCCAAGACTGCCAAGGCTACACAGAGAAACCCTGTCTCAAAAAAAAAAACAAGCAAAAAAAAAAAAAAAAAAAAAAAAAAAGAGTGGGTCAAAACCTAGGCCCTCTGCACAGTTGTGCACGTGGGTCTTCTTGTTGGACGCCTAAATCAGGAACAGGCCTGTTTCTGACACTGTTGCCTGCCTTTGGATCCCTTTCCTCGGATGAGGCTGCCTCATCTAGCCTCAACAGAAGATGTGCCTTGTCTTATAGCAACTGGATATGCCAGGGCTCATTGATATCTATAGGAGCCCCCCCTCTTCTGAGGAGAAGGGGAAAGAGAGGTGAAGGGGGTGGGAAGGTAAGAAGAAGGGTCTGGGAGGAGAGGAGAGAGGGGAAGCTTCAATTGCAGCATAAAGTAAATAAATAACTTAGTTAAGTTTATTAATTATTTTTTATTAATTAATAAAAAAGTAATGCAAAAGAAAGAGTGAGTCAAAAAAGAACAAAGGTACTATGCACAGACACAGTGCACAGACATACAGAAAGACTAAACATCCATTCAAAATAAGATAAAAATAAATCTTTAAAAGTGGCAAAGGTCATGGCTGGGAGGTGGTGGCACGCAGCTTTGATCCCAGCATTCAGGATGCAGAGGCAGGTGGACCTCTGCGAGTTCGAGTCCAGCCTGGTCTACAAAGCGAGTTCCAGGACAGCCATAGCTACACAGAGAAACCCTGTCTTGAAAAACAAAATAATAAAAAGTGGCAAAGGTCACCCAGGGTCCCAAAGCCTCTTTACTTCAGTGGCATCGTGGAGACCCTTCGGGCAAACCTGGCAGGATTTGGGTCTGGCACTGAGCTCAGCAGCTTTGCTAACCATTGCACTGTCCATCGGCCCCCACCATCTCTCGGTTCCTATTCTGGGCAAGAAGCCAAACACACATTTCTCAGGCCCCCACAGGCTTTTGGAGCTGACAGAGTGGCGTTTGAGGAAAGGGCTGAGCGAAGCAGAAAGCTCCCGAGAGTGTCAAAAGGAAGACAACAATCACATCAGGAGGCTTATCCAAGAGAGACACTGAGACCCAGAGAGAGTGAGAGTCTCCAGGTCCACACAGGAACAGCTCCCAAAAAGAGCCACCAAGTAAGGTTCCCCCTCAAAACACTTCTCTGATCCTCACTGGATGTCATAGGTCACTACATAGTGGCCAAATCTCAGCATTTGAGGGTCCCTATATGCTAAAAGCTCCTATGGCCCTCAGCAAAGAATCTTAGTGGTCCTTTCCCGGTCCCCACTCTTCTCTTTGCCTTAGCTACTCAATGGATGGCACATCCTATTCACAATCCAGAGAGCCAGAGGTAATGCCCCCATTTTAGGAGGAAATTAAGTTTCAAGGAAATGATGGGATTTGTCCAAGATCACATACTAGTGGGTGAGAGACAAGAAATGCGAACTAGCCCTGCTTAGCTCTGTTCTCTCTGTTAGCTCTGCTCTCCTTCCAGGAGACCACACTGACCCCAGGTAGGTCCTGGTCCTGTTTTCATGCCTACATCCCACCTCTCAAGGCCAGACTGGAGCCACTTGGGGCCTGGGGGAAGCAGGAAGGAAATGAAAAGTCCTTCGTAGTCCTCTGGGCTCTGTGCCACAGTACTTACCCTCCAGCACCACCTCCTTGCCCGTCTTCTTGAGGGCCTGTACTGCTTCATCGTGGGTGGCAGAGGATAGATCTTCACCATTCACAGACAGGATGGCGTCCCCAACAAAGAGGGCCTCCGTCTGGTCTGCTGCCAGTCCTTTGAAGATCTTGGAAATGAGAATCGGCATCTTGTTCTCCCGGCCCCCTGCACACAGGCACAAGAGGAAGAGAAAACTGAGACAGCTGCTTCAACCTTTGGGAAAGTTATCAAGGTGAAGTTGCTTCTGACTCGGTGCTAGGAAAGGGGAAATGGATGAATAATGAGAAATAAAGGTATGGCGACAGGTGGCCATTATCCCAGCATTCAGGAGGCTTGGGCAGGAATGGATTGCCTTGAGTGCAGAGCCACCCAGAGATACAGCAAGGCAGGCTAACAAGGTATTTTCTAAATCCATAAAGCTATAGTTTGGCTACTTGGTCTTTTGTTTAAATGTTTCAAATGTTCACTGTTTTACTGATTTTTTTTTTTAATGTTTTGGCTTTTAAGCAGTTTCCCACAGTATGAAAATTTACTGATAACCCCCAATCTGGATTTAAGAGAGGAGTAGTGGTTGCTATAGCCTAAAAGGACCTCTTCTACAATCATCAGATTTTAGAATCCAGAGCTGGGTGTGGTGCAGAGCGTCTTTTATTCCAGCACTTATGAAGTAGAGGTGGGGAAGGAATGGGAGGAAGGGGTTACTAGTTCATATTATCCTCAGCTACGTAGGGAGTTTGAGGCCAGCCTGAGATATATAAGGCCATCTCAAAAATAAATTAATTAATAAGTTAAATGGGCTTTCCAGGATTCACACTGGAAAGGAATTTCTAAATTTAACATGTAGCATGTAAATTTAGCATATCTAAATTTAACATGTATTTATTTTGTCTGTATGCATGTATACAAGTACACATGTTCTGTACATGCGAGATCAGAGGACAACTTGCAGAAGTTGGCTCTCTCCTTCCGCCGTCTGGGTCCTGGGAATCAAACTGGTCATCAGTCTTAGCAACAAGCCCCTTTACTCTGAGCCTGTAGTTCTCACCCTGTGGGTTTCAACCCTTTTGGGGCTTGAATGACCCTTCAGAGGGGTGGAATATCAGTTATCCTTCAAGTCAGATATTTGCAATTCACAACAATAACAATATTACAGTTATGAAGTAGCAATGAAATAATTTTGCAGCTGGGGGTCACCACAACATGAGGAACTGTATTAAAGGGTCACAGCATTAGGAAGGTTAAGAACCACTGCTTCTGAGCCACCTCCCCAGCCCCCAAATATCTTTTGCTTGTTTGTTTGTTTGTTTGAGGCAGGATCTCACTATGCAGCCCTGACTGGCCTGGAACTCATTATGTCCAACAGGCTATTCTGAAACTCAGAGAGATCCACCTGCCTCTGCCTCAGGCGTGCTAAGATTAAAGAAATGTGCCACCATACCCAGACCAAATGTCTTTTTAAAATAGTCTGCTCGGCTGGGCATGGTGGTACTTGCTTATAATCCCAGCACCGAGGTGGCAAAGGGTAAAGGGTTACTGTAAATTCAAGACCAACGTGTTTCACGTAGAAACTTTCAAGACAGTATGGACTACACAGCCAGACAGTCTCCAGAAAAGAGGAAAAATCAGTGCTCCACCCTTTATAGTCTCAAGTGAGACCCTCGAATGTCACATTCCTGGCCCATCCTCCAAGCACTCATGAGAGATTAGCGGCTCAGAGCAAGAGTCATTGTTTCAAGGTTACATAAATCTGTGACATCTGAGCCTGGGCCACCTCTCCCAACCCCCACCCAGGCCCAACAGTTGCTCCTGACACTGCGCAAGGCTTGAGGCCTAGGAGAGGAAGGTGTTTCTATTTATATCTAGCCTCCCCCACCTAAAAGGAGGGACTTCAGTTCCATTTGAAGCTATGACCATTCCCAGCTGCCTTGCACTCAGCTGGACCCCAGAAGGGAAGTTACCATGGCAACAAGAGTCCAGTCTTCTTCAATCCAGGAGGATTTGAATGAAACTGCTACTTTCCCCAAAGTCCCATAAAAATATCCATCCAACACCTGGAAGTATAGATTTGGGTAGTGTCTCCATCCCTTGGCAAGACCCGGATCCTCTGAGAGTCACTTTGTCTGTTTGCAAAGCGGAACTTTATAGGAACTCTAGTTTCTTCCTGCTCTGACACACTGAGTGTAGTTTTTAAAAATTGGCCTGTTTCCCCAGCCTGTGCTAGAGTTTGGGATTAAAGCTGGTGCCCGCTCCCTGTCTTCCCGTTCCCCCTTTAGGCTCTTGGGGTTAGCTGACTGTGAATCTACCCTTCCCTGGAAAAGACTGACTCCCTGGTCAGTCTTTAGGGCAGCAGTGGCTCTATAATTAAGATTTAAATCCTGGTTCTGCCATTCACTGGCTGATCCTGGGGAAATCATCTTCCTCTTCTGAGTTTTCTCCACCTGCAAAATGGAGATTAAACTCAATGCCTCTCACCACTGATGGTCAAGCTGAAACAGACCAGGAGCTAAGTCTAAAGGACACAAAACCTAACACACAGTGGCATTCACCACCATGCCTATTCCCTAACCTGGGCCAAAGGGTCTAAACGAGGTGTCAGTGACCACAGCCACCTCCTGGGAGGCCTGGGATGTATGGACACATTCAGTCTGATAGACAAATGGGCAGGAATGGTGAACCCAGCCGCCGGGTATGTACATAGATTTTAAGCACATTTCGTTGCTTGAGAGACACCACCACCCCACCCCACCCCCAACCTCTTTTCCTCTCACACATGCTGGCAAGCCCTGCTCTCAGAAACACCCTCATTGTATAGTTACCAAAACAGATTCAGAGATGGGAAGTGATTTGTCCAAGTTCACAGAGCTCTGTTAACTCCGAGGGCAGCCAAAATGAGCTGGGGAAGTAGTCGGCTGGTAAAGCGCTTGCCTAACATGTATGAAGTTCTAGGCTTGATCCTCAGCACAACATTAACCTATTTTAGCAGTACATACCAGTAATCCCGGCACGCTGGAGGCGGAAATAGGAAGATTAGATCAGTGTTATCCTTTGCTATATACTGACTCTGAGGCCAGCCTGGGATACATGAGACCCTGTCAAACAACAACTGTCCGTCTTGGAGACGAAGACCTCTCAGGAAGGAATGGCAACTCTGGGTTCACCCTCTCACCCTGTGCATGGTACAAACAGGCAGATGAGGAGCCTCAAACCCAGCCACCGGGACTCCCAGCCTAGGTGTACAGCCCTCTGGAGCCCAAGATGCCTCGGTCCCTACTGACCATGCCTCTGCCTCCATGCATCTCTGCTATCCACACTGAGTTTCCAGACTCCAGGCCTTCACCCGTGCACCTAGGCTGTATCTCATGACTTCCCCCTTCTTGTCCTGGCGGTGTTCCAGGCCTCCATCCCCTTTCCTTTCGCCCCTTGTCTGCCTTCCTGAGGACCCTTCTGCCCTTGATACCCAGAGATACTCTTTTGCTTCAACACAGAACTAAGCACCCGTGTCCTTGGCGCGCCCCACGTCCTTGGTGCGCCCCCGTCCTTCCACACTTGTGCCTTCTGAGTCACCTGTAAGACCACCCCCCCCCAATAACCCAAGCCCCTTCCGACCTTCGTGCTCCTCCCTCACGCTGTTCCCTCCTCCCCTGAGACTCCGCTCCGCCCCAGACAGATGGCTTTAGGTGTGCTGCCAGCCCCCCCCGTGACCCCCGAGCGCTCCGCAGCGGCACAGACACCGTGACCCGCGCCCTCAGTGCCCCGCGCCTACCCTTGATGCTGATGCCCAGCCCGCCGGCATCGGCCTTGCGCACCGTCACGCGGCGCCGCTGGAGAAGAAGCGCCTCTGGCAGCTGCGGGGGCGCCGCGCCGGGCTCAGAGGCGCCGTTGAGCTGCGCGGGCTCCGGCTCCGGGCCGGGCTCGCCGTCGGCGGGGCTCACGGTCAGCGCGTCCTCCGCCAGAGTGAGCAACACCCGCTGCCACCGCTCGCCGCCCGCCCCGGAGCCCGCCCCGGCGCGCAGCTCCAGCAGCCCGGAGCGAGGAGCGCGCCTGCCTGACGCCATCTTCGCCTCGAAGTCCCAGTACGCCGCGCTCGCCCGGTCCCGCCGTACCCGGCCCGCTCTGACCCAGCGCCCGGGGTAGAGGGCTGCGGGCGGCGGAGCAGCCGCCACCCTACCCCGGGCCTCGGGGGCGGAGCTTCGCAGGACAGGCCGTCGGGGGCGGGGCTAACGGGGGCGGGGCCCCTGGAGAGACGGAGAAGCTAGGGTAACCTAAGGATGCTCCGCTTGGGAGTGGGTCAGAACCGCGTCGCCGCGAGGCCACAAAGTTAGAGGAGGAGATCGAGGGTGCAGTTCTCGGCAGGGACGTTAAGGGACAGGGTCCTGTGGAGGGGACAACCCAAGGATCGGGCTCTGGGCGCCGTCGAGGATTGGACCGCAGCTCCTGGAGGCAGAAGTACGAGAAAAAGAATCAAGGATCCTGGGGCGAGTCTTTAGGCGTCCGGGCAGGGCTGCCTGTGGCGGGGAGCTAGGCTCCAAGGACTTTGCAGACAGAGTTAACTGGTAAACTAGCTAAGGAAGGAGGTGGTTCTGCAAGTCTTGTATGTCTTGGGGAGAGGGTCCCAGCAGCGGTCTGTGAGCGTGGCTCAGCTTGAGGGCACAGCCTCCAAAGAGGCAAACCTACCCACCAGGAATAGGACCCTGCTCCTTTGAGGGTTTGGTCCCGTCAGTTGGAGGGAAAGGATCTGCAAGTTTGAGACCAGCTTGGACTACATGAGACAAAAATACAAAAAAAAAAAAAAAAAAAAAAAAAAAAAAAATCAAAAGACATAAGGAGCTGTAGAGATAGAAGGCTCAGAGGTTAAGAGCATGCTCTGCTCTTATAGGGGACCAGAGTAAGGTTCACAGCACCCATGTTGGGCATCTCACTTGTAACTCCAGCCCCTTGGAGACCTGACTGCCCTCCTTGGGAACCTGCCTTCACATTGCGAACACCTACACGTGGGCACACAAAAGTAATAAGGATAAATAAAGCACACATATTATGTACACATGTGCACACATGTGTGGCACTTACTCAGTGCTTGCATGGCACATGCGCTGGCTGATTTATGCTATCATTTACGCCCCGCGCAAATCCTGCATAACCTATACATTACTGCTATTTTACTGGTGAGGAAACTGAAACACACAAGCACCAAAAGCCGACTTCCGTTTTAACCTGGGTCTTTCTGACTTCCAAGCTCATATCCCCCTTACTCCCTTGTGCTACGTGCCCAGCAGCAGGGGATGATTTCACTATTCACTAATTGAGCACTTACTGGACCAAGCAAGATGCCATACATCTGTAATCACAGCACTCTGGAGACTGAGGCAGGAGGATCATGAGTTAGTTCTAGGCCAGCTAGAGATTCATAGCAAGTTCCAGGTTACATTTTTAATTTTTTTTATTTTAAAGTTTATGTGGATTAAAGCCCAGAAGTGATCAGATCCCAGAAGGCATCAGACTCCAGAAACTGAAGTTAAGGATGGCTTTCAGCTGCCATATGTGTGCTTGGAATTTAAATCCAGACTTTGTGGTTAAATATTTTAGGACAAGCCAGGCCTACTGTAATCCCAGATATCCAGGAAGCTGAAGCAGGAGAGTCACAAGTTCAAGGCCATCCTGGGCAATTTAGTAAGATTTTGTTTTAAATTTTTAAAATATAGTGCTGGAGGAGGTGGCACACACCTTTAATCCCAGCACTCAGGAGGCGGAGGCAGATGAATCTCTGCGAGTTTGAGGCCAGCCTGGTCTACAGAGCTAATTCCAGGAGAGCCAAGGTGACACAAAGAAACTCCATCTCAAAATAAATTAAATTAAATTAAACATTAAAAACAAACAAACAAAAAAAAAAAGACTAGGGATATAGCTCAGTGATATAGCCTATCTCATGTAAGGCCCTATATTCAAGCTCATGACTATTAAAAAAAAAAAAATAGAAGGGTAAGGATGACGAGTCTCATGCTTGTAAGCACGACCCTGGGGAGATGGAGGTGGGAAATCAGAAGTTCAAAGGCTGTAGCAGGAGAGATGGCTCAGCAGTTAGAAGTACTGGTTGCTTTTACAGGGACTTGGATCTGATTTCCAGCACCCATGTGGTGGCTCACAACCATCTAAAACTCCACTTCCAAGGCAGCTTACACCCTCTACCAGCTTCAGTGGGCACCAGGCACACAAATGGTGCACAGGCCTGCATACAGGCAAAACACCCATACACACAAAAAGCATGTTTTAAAGTTAAAAGTCTACGCAGGGAGACCCTGAGCTCAAAAAGGTATACGAGAGGAAGGGAGAAAGGGAGAATGAAAGGGGAGAGGAGTACAAGGAGCTGGCGGTGACAGCACGTTTAGTCCCGGCACTAGGGAGGCAGAGGCAGGTGGGTCTCTAAGTTTGAGGCCAGTCCGGTCTACAGACTGAGTGCCAGGACTACGCAGAGAAAAAAAATAAAGAGTACATGAGAGGGTCGCACACACACATACACCATACACACACACA